ACATACTTAGTTCAAAATTCACATAAAGAAAAAATATTATGGATTAGTTATTATTTTACTACAAACCATTCTGTGACCCAGGGAACTAAGTGAGATATTATGTACCTTGGCTTAATTTAAGGCTCTTAGGTATGAAAATCATTATTAAAACATGAAGGCAAGCCAAATTAATGTAAAAGTAACATTTAAAATTCAGATGTTAGGTTTTCCTAACATTAATTTAAATTAGTAGAGTCGTCTTCTTTATAATAATTTGAGTAAAAAAACATAAAACCGACTCCAAAAAACCTACACTAAAAAGCAGAATAATAATTACTAATTACCTACTTATTTATTAGGACGAATTATTAATATTTATGTAGGTATACCATGATTGATACTTTATAAAAAAGTTCATCCCCAATTTTCCACCCTTGGGGGTTGTTTTTTTTATTATTAAATTTAAATGGGACCACCCTTGAGATATTACCTATACGCTGAAAAAAGATTTGTTCAAATCGGTTCATAATTGGCGGAGCTATCGCGTAACAAACATAGAAAAAAAAAAAAAAAAAACATACGGGTCGAATTGAGAACCTCCTCCTTTTTTTGAAGTCGGTTGAAAATTAGATGGCTTTTTATTCGTAGGGTTGATATAGATTCTTTCGATCCAAAGTTAAAGGTTGATTGCTAGATAGGATACACAGATTGATAAATCACTTTCTTTAATCGAATGTCCCCAGTTAGGTAAGAACACACCCAAACTATTAGCAAGAATTAACTTAATGTCTGAGAGGAAATCACGATTATTTTAAGTAACTTAGAAAGGCATTCTGCTAAATATCAGCTAAATCAAAGATGTAATTGCTAAATAATGTAATAATAAATAAATGAAATAAATCCCGATTGAACTATGTATGATGACTAGAGATGAAACGGATAGTTGTTTGGCCGGATACCGGATACCGGATATCCGGCCGGCTGCTAGGCCGGATAACCGGATATCCGGCGGCCGGATAGTTGGCCCATTGTCTCGTTGCATGTCGTGACGAGTTTAGCACAGGTGCTTCGAACGCGATTAGTGGGTCTATTAGTAGACTAGACTAGTCACACTTTTCTAAAATCGAATCAGTCCGAATAGAATGTCAGATTTTGCCACTTGTCTAGGGGGCAGATCAATTCGGGCGATTTCAGTTGCCATCGTGAGTGTGATTGAATAGCGAAAATTAAATTAGTTTACTTGCTGCGTAATCTGACTGAATTGCATCATGACATCAGACCATCAGTGAAAAAAGATCGCCTATTTTATTTGGAAATATTTCGACTTAACAGATATTTACTATTTATGTATTCGTCATTAGAGTGAATAGTCCAGAAAAAGAATTTTTTTTAAAGGCCTTAATATGACTTTTTATAACTTTTTGGACTTTAAATCAAAGCCGTCATTATTATAAGCCATTTTATTGATGTGTACCTCAAAGATTAATGTATTTCATTTTATTAATAGGAAATTGTCGTAGTTTTTTAATATCCGGTATCCGGCCGGATAGTGAGTTACTATCCGGTATCCGGCCGGATAATAAATTTAGGCCGGATATCCGGCCTACCGAATAGTTACCGGATATCCGTTTCATCTCTAATGATGACAACTCATAAAGTCTGCAATCAAGATATCTAGTAACTTCATTGTTACAACGGGCCTTTTCAAGCTGAATAGGCACTTACAGGGCAGATTTATACCATCGTTGACTGCATCTCACTTAACACTAGTGGGCTGAGTGTGAGTTTAGTGAGCGCGTTTAAAAAATGTATGAAAATTTTAGTTTTTGAACGTTTCCCGCTAGGGGCGTTGTACAATCCGTCATACATTTAATGTCATTTTTTGGCGCTCACTAGTGAGCGCGTTTGATGAAAACTCATACTAGGCCCTCAGGTGCGATTGCGGTCAAATACCTGCCTTGTCATGCATAAAAAAACACGACCAAACCCATGCCATAGAAAAACAACAGCTACCCTTACAAAGTAGGTTAGGTAACTAGGTATTCTAGTTTTTCTGCTCTTTTGCCACAACATCAGCACGCGTCAGAACAGTGGTCATCAGAACAAGCGTTCTACAAGTCAGAATGATCAAAACCACCCAGAGGCAGACTCGTAATTGCTTTTGTTTTAATATGCTTGCTTAACATAAATAAATATTTACACGGTTTTAAAACTGGGCTCAATTATTGGCTGAAACTGTCAGGTTCCTATTCCACAGGTAGTGACAATGGTTTTTTTGCGCACGCGCAGTGGGTGGCCAGACCACAATGTCGGCAGTATGTTTATAGCTACTTCGCACTGTGAATATGGAGGTTTTTTTTAAACTGGACAGTGTGTTAAAAAAGTTATGGGGGAATAAAGGTGAAAGGTTGTGGTGGTGTGTTGTTATGTTCGCATTATTTTATGTTCATCCATGCCGAAAAAAATACATTTGTTTTATAATTTTCGTCAAATAAGTAAAAAGAGCGATGAAGGGTGGCGCTTCTTATCTCCACTGAACTCGTAAATGTTAGATCCCATTTTGACCATCGCTCTTTTTAAGTGACACAAGACTTACGATTCTCAATAGGTACCTACCTACGTGACTAAAAAATTGGTAATTGAGAACTTCTGAAGCAAGATTTGCTAGAAGAAACTTTGATACTAGATACCTAACGCTAAGGCTGAGTTGCACCATTTTACTTTGACTTTGACAAATGTCAAAAATCTGTCAAACTCCATACAAAATACCCGGTTATCGTTATAGTCACGGTTTTAGTTTGGTGGTAGGTACAACTCAGCCTAACTTTTGCCTCTGGATCTACATGCGTATTTTAGTTTTTCACTAAACTACGAAATCTACGATACGATAGTAGGTACGATAGCTTTCGGGATAAACGGTTACTTCTTGGTCTAAGATGGTCTTCAATCAGTTTTTAAATCCGGTTATTATGTAGTAATGGTAATGTTTATTTTGTATTTTGAATAGTACGAAATTCGGAAACCCCATCAGTGAAATAACGCGGATGACTCCATGTCATTCATTGTTGGGACATTCCGAAATAAATTGAAATAAAGCAACTAATTTGGCATTATAGTTTTAACGTGGGACTTAAATTAAATAATTTTTAGTACATAATATTTAAATGCTAATTATTGAAGTATCATTTAAATATTTCTATTAAGTGCTTTTTAATGTTACATAGAGCAAAACTTTGGATGGGTATCTATCTGCATTTTTAGTAATTCTATGGTGATTAATGTTTTTTTTTATCAACAAAAGGATAATAAAATTTTCTCGAGTAATAACGGATAAATTGAATATTGAATAAATAGAAAAAATCTACCTACGAAAGCTTTGAGTTTAGTTTTGTAAATAATAGAGCTGTGGACTTTTGGGAATTACCCCGATTTCAATGTTTTTTACCTTTAACCTAAGTACTTAAAGGTAAATAAACATTTGATAAGTATGTAGGTGTAGTAAGTAGATACCTATGTGTGTTTCTTTCTACATCGTTACGTCACAAAAAATCATGAAAAATCATAATAAGGTAGGTTATTCTATTTGTAACCTTTTCTTTGAACTCTTCTCACATAGGTAACTTGCCTATTTTCCTGCTTTTTTTTTAAACTCGTCCCACACAGGCCGCTGTGTTTGCGGACTTGGTTTATCCTGCCAGAGAAAAAAAATGTGGCGCCACAGTAAGTAGTAGGTAATTTTTGATATTTATTTATTTAATCATTGTTTAATTTATTTAGTAAGTAGGTAACTGAATGAGTTTTAACTTCGTATGAGGAAAGTAAATTCCGTTATTCTAATAATAGGGGAAGTGTAAATTAATTGAATGGTAAGTTTGTAACCAGCCAAACCTAAAGACTCAATAATTTTGTAGGTATGTAGATAGTTAGATAGGTATTATTTTTAATTGCGGTGTTACTGTGTGTACTGTGTATTAAGCAGTTTAGGGAAATAAAATTCATTAATTAGATTTTATAAATTGATCAACCCTAATTTATTTTACCTAACGTTAATAATTTGCAAAACTTAATAATATTAATATAGAAATAGGTAAGTACCTAGGTGTAGGTAGGTGTACTTATGCCCGTTTTCACCATCAATACCTAATTTTTAAGTGACCCCTATGTAAAAAAAATCCTGTTATTTGTTACCATAGCGGTCACTTAAAAATTAGGGATTGATGGTGAAAACATGCATTAATTACCTATATTTAGGTGGTAGGTACTATTAATAGAAATAAAATAAAACAAATAAAATAAATGTTTGAGATTATTATGTTACTGAATGAAAGTCACAGTGAATTGATGTTTAAATTATTTATTAGTAATGTCGTTATAAAACCAGTCTTATAAATTAAATTAATTAAATTATAATCTGATCGGATACGACTATAAACTCGTACCTACGAGAAGCAATCAAAATGACAATAATCGATTTACACGTCTGGTATTCAGTTTAATTTAGCGCCAGGAATGTTATTTATACCGGCTGGCATTGTGAGCGAGCATTGGCTGTCACTGGAGAAATTTTTTCGCCAATTAAAACGAAGTGATGGGACAATCAGCCCGTAACAAACGAAAGACGGCCCATCGGCCATCGGCCCGGGTCAGAGCTTGCGGGACCCGGGCAAAAACAATCGCGAGCGTGGACAATTAAGCGAGCGTAATTAAATCGAGGCGTGGCCGAGCGTTAATGAGGGCCGCACATAGGCGGCGGCGTAATCAACATTAAAGATTGGCGGGAGATGCGGCCCCCCGCGCCCGCGCCCCTCATTACTTATACAAAATACTTAAGACGAGCGTCGTCCCGCTCTCCGCGTGCTAATAGTTCGCGCCCACTCGCTATCGCCGTCTCGCTTCGGCCGCTGAGCGTAATTAGCCTTCGCCTCGCCTCGACTCGCTCGGGCGCCCCGCCCCCTGAAGGGTGCAGGGGGGGCGCGGCGACGGGCGGGGGGCCGCAGCAACCGGCAGCGCAGTTAGCCGGCGACCGTTGATAGCGTAGCGTCGCGCGCGTCGCGCCAACAACAATCGGACGATTCAACACCAACACAACTTTAGTTCCTCATTAACAGTTACAGTGGGTGTTTTGGTGTAACGGCATAGTTCCTTGTGATCTGACTGACACCTCAAGTGCTACAGTTTGCTAGTTTCGGATATTGGACAAGTGCAAAGTGACTGTGCGTGCTATGCCGCAATTCAAAGCTTAGCAGTCTACTGCGGGCGATGCTCACAGGTTAATATTTACTTTTAAGATTCCCAATTAGAATCTCGTAAGTGGTAATTTAGAGTCTTCTCCAGTGTTGTGACGGTTTGTGAAATCCTGACCATTTCACTTCGACCGAAAATTTCTCCTCGCGATTCGAAAGTTGTCCGATTTCGCGGAAATTATTAAGTTGCAGTAAGAAAAGGACAGTTTTAATCATTCTTTTGTAACAAACAAATTAATGAAAACGTGATTAAAATAGGTCTGTGTAGATAAACTACCTGTACCAATATCATAAATCACATTCGAAAAGTTTAGATGTTTGCGAAACTTTTCCGATTGGAACAAATCTTATAAAAGTGGTAATAATGTAGTAAAATAATGTTAAAACATCAAATCTAGCGATACAATAATATTCTTATTGGTTGATGAAGTAATGGCACTTCAAAAATTTTGAGTTACCCACATAAAAATCTTATAAGAAATACCGGCGGTAGTTGAAAAAATTGTAACACGTGAAGATTTTGGCTGACGACGAGTATTAGAAAATGTGTAAAAGAATTGACCACATATCGTTGAAAACACATCAAGAATTTACGATAATGGTCCATAAAAAATAAAGCTCCGACAAATTACAGTTTCATGCCACAATTTAAAATATTGGATCAAAAATAAAATTGTTTAAATGTGGAGTGAAGATGTGTGAATGTATGAAACATTACATTAAAATTGAAAATGTTTAAATGTAAACACTCCTTCCACGCCTACACTCACCCCCGACACGGAGCAGGGTCATTCTTAGAAGTCCAAAATTTCTATTGCTATAAGGTTTCGGCCTATAAAATATTGCTCAATAAATTAAACTCCAAATATTAATTAAGTTAGGCTGAATATTCTTTCGTGGAATAAATTATGTCCAGCTTTATTAAAAAACTAATTAGGTACGAAGAATTAAATTAAGTGGGTAGGTTACTGTGCAGAAATGTGTTTTGAAAATAAAAAGAAAATAAATATTTTCATACAGGTAACGAAATAAATTAAAAATTAATAAAAACTTAAATATTCTCTCATTACAATAAGTTAGCGACAAGCTTTTGGGATAATAACTTAGGTATTATTTTAGAAAAGATCGACAATAAAAACCAAATGTAATGGCGGTGCCGGTGTAAAATTAACTTTAGTAGAATATCTAATGTAGTAAACATACCTACAAAAATATTAACTATTACACATGGCATGTAGGTCGCCATTTACTAAAATTGTACCTACCTTCATTGCATTTTTATGGCATTAACTGTGAAATTTGTATGCATATTAAATGGTAGTGGTATCGTAAAATTGGGAAAGACAAATGAAAGCTAACTATAAAAAAATAAGCCATTTAATGTCTGTAAGCACTTCATCTTCCGCATGTAAAAGTTTAGAACTATTATAATTTAAATAAAAGTTCAGGAATAATAATACTAGTATTAATCAATTTTACTATTAGGTAATCAAATTAATCACACTTAAAAATAATTTTAATAACCTTAAATTAAAAATTCCGATGGAAACTTGTTCTTCATTGTGCTTGAAAACAGTTTTGCGCTACTTTTACTTGTTTCATCTAAGAATATAATACCTATAATTTTTAGGCGTCGCAGAAATCTATTTCACGATCTAGCAAGCCTGCATGAGGTGAGTCTTAACTGCATAGGGTAAGTGCGTTAGTTTTCGTCCAATTATCGGAGTTGCCAACTTTGTGATGCGAAATGAATATCTTAAAATACCCTTACTCATATGTATCATATGTCATTTTAGTCCTTATATAGTCTACTTTACGTTAATATAATATGACAATAAGTAAATACCACGGGTATTTTTATAAAAAATGTTTTATGCAAAAGAGGCGATTTCACTAGTTTTCGTCCAAAAAAATCAGTTTTCGTCCTAGTGTACGCTAGTTTTCGACCACTGTGTAGAAAAAAGGGTGCAGTTGAATTATTAACTTAAAACCAATTCTACAATACAGTAACTATGGATTGTGGTATATCATTTGAAAGGTAATTTTGTTAGCTTTCAAATGATATCAAAAATATTTAAATAAGTTTCTTACCTAAATTTAGGAAAATATTGCAATAGGTCGAAGGATAAATGGACGAAAACTAATCTACAGGAATAGCTATTTTTGGTTTTCGTCCACCCCAATGCTTGCTCATGACGTCATGGACGAAAACACAACAACGTTTGAAGCTGTTTTTTGTTTTCGTCCACATCTTTTTAACGGTTTTTATGGGGTTTTCACTGTTAAAAAGTGGACGTAAACTAAAATGTTTAAAGTAATAGCAATAAAGATCATATTGGAAGAAAAAACATTGTATTTTGTAGGTCCATTGAAGTAAAATGATTATTAAAAATATTAACTAGGTGTCAGGGTTTCCGTCCACGTGGACGAAAACCAAAATCTTGCAAAATTGTTATGCTAGTATTAGTCCACTTAATTATCTAAGATTTCTATACAAAAACTTTAATAAACCCTTAAAATAGTGTTTATTATACTAATAATTAGACATACGTGCCAAAAACATTACGTAAAGTAGCTAAAACAGTAATTAAACATATCGTGAAAGTTCCCTACCGGCACGTTTTTTTTTCTAACTTGATGACGTTTTCCATTCACCTGTGTGCAGCAGCAACTTCCGTAGATTTTTTTGGAGTTATTACTTGTTAAATTACATTTTCATGCAGGCAGAACTGTTACTTAGATATTATAGATTGTAACAAGTCCAAACTTGCACGGAAAGTTAGGTTTGTATTCTAATTTTCCGTATTTGTTTGTGGCAAGTCGGTCAAATGGACGAAAACAGGAGCTGGACGGAAAACCGGCGCAATTACCCTACTACAGCTAGTAATAATTCGCTCATTAGCAATGTACCTATTAAGAATAAAATTCTATTTTATTTAAAAATTCGCTTTAAAATTTGTAACGGAAATTATCAGATCAACATTATTGTTCATTAAACTGTAGATTACTTAAAAAATATCTAATTGGTTTAAAAATACAATATTTTTCATAATACCTAAAATGATTTTCCTCATCCAACACTTTGGCAGGCCTATTATTGAAATGCAAATGGCGTCTTAAAATATGATCAATATTCCATAAAATACAATAAATAATACAAAATACGTTAGCTGAAACAAAGGCTTGCGCGGGCGCATTCCCGCACAACGGGGCGGCCATCTTGCGAGATCATTTTCCCGCTCGATAAGACCGCGCTCGACATTCGGGACAGATAGAACCATTAATCAATACGACCTTAGATTGATATCGGCGATCGCAAACAGTATTTAATTTATTACAGCTCACAACCGATACTTGATTTAGGTGCGTAGGCGCAAGAGATCGGCGCGAATAACATTACTAACAATGGCGCCACTGTGCTATTCATTTTTTGTACGCAAATTATTGTTACCCGGTGACAAAGGCAGTTACAACCTACGCTCAAAAATGGTAAATATAATTCGGTAACAAATACGACTGAAATAACTGGATATAAACATTTACATTTCTTTATTTATTTCTTCTGAAGCCACTTTTTTATAACAACTAGGGTAATTCTGTGATTTCTCACTACTAACTTAAAAGCAAAGATTTGCTAAACTTTTTCTAATACATATAAAAAATCTTGATATTAAAAAAATATTTGGACTAACAAATGACACAAATATTTTCAATTTTAATACGATAAAAACATTGAAAATAGGCTCGTGAGCTTAGTAAAACTCATTTTAAAATCATTGATAATATTGTGTAAGAGTAATGGGTGTTAAGGAGCACATTATGTGAATATGGAAAATAGTTTCTCATTAAATCGTCGATTTATTTTAATACTGTTTGTGCCGATTTTAAGATAGGGTGGCACTCAAAGTGATGAACTGGGAGCGAAAATTATAAGATACTGTCATCTCCTTGAATAAAAATAATATTTTTATATAAAAATCTTGGATGGAATGCAAAATTAATTTTAAAAAAACCTTTATTTTTCAATGAAAGAAATTAAAACATAGATTTAATGTTTTAAAATGTTTGTTATTAAAATATTATACCTATGTTACTTATTAAAGTAAATGAATAAAATTCGTACTTCCACACACTTCACTAACCCCAATACGAGAGCATACAAAGTCTGGGACAAACTTTCCTTGTTACGTGACGCTCGGCGCCATCTATCGGGCGGTAGTTACACTAGCCTGGGAAAGCTCTACGATTCGTCAGGGGCCCTTACAAGATAAGGGCCATCGTGACGGCTCGTTGAGATGGACAAGAGATAGTAACGCACTGCACGTGGGGGGAGGGAAACGTAAATAGATTATTTTCACTTGTTTTTCCCATTGTCTGATAGAATTGGACGTGGTAATTGCGCTTTTCTTCAAATTGTCTTTTGTTAGTTTAGCCTTGTTAATTTTCTAACTTTTTGACTTTATGATTAATCATTTTTGCAGCTGCTTGTCTAATCTGTTAATTAATTAATGCATTAATTTATATTTATCTAGGTAACTACTAAAATTGCAAATTTCCTAAAACAATAGGGTTATTCACCAGTATCGCCCATGCTACCGACTCGTGTCTGTGTGAGGAGTGAGGACATCGCCACTTCCCCCAGATACATGACATTAACGGCCACAATGCCGTTTAGCATTCAACTGATCCCAGATAGGCCAACCGAAACATAATACGTCTACAATAACAAGATGACCTGACGCTTCATAGGTCGAATTCAGTTCGTTCTATAACGGTCCCTGTTTAACTTTGAAATAGAAAAAACAAAACACTGGCTTATTTGTTCATTTTTTGGTCGTAAAAAAGGTACTGAATTAAAATTTGTTCCGTAATAGGAAGATCGTTAGAAAGAAAGTACGCTTTTTATTTTACTTTATCAAGGTACACTATAAAAAGATTAAAGAGTTCCATTCTTGCAAATAAGAAAATAGAAGCGGCTTGCATTATAATATGATGTAATGCTTTGAGCATTCGATGTAATTAGCCT